CGAGGTGCTGGAGTCGGTCTGAACACCGACTGGACAGCTGGGCTGGGGACCATGGACCGGACACGAGGTGCTGGAGTCGGTCTGAACACCGACGAGGGAACAGGAATCGGCTGGGCCACCGACGAAGCAGGTGCCGGTCGGACCACCGACGAGGGAACAGGAGTCGGCTGGGCCACCGGCGAAGCAGGTGCCGGTCGGACCACCGACGAGGGAACAGGAGTCGGCTGGGCCACCGGCGAAGCAGGTGCCGGTCGGACCACCGACGGAGCACAAGGAACGGGAGTCGGCTGGGCCACCAACGAAGCTGGTGCTGGTCGGACCACCGACGAAGCACGAGGAACAGGAGTCGGCTGGGCCACCGGCGAAGCAGGTGCCGGTCGGACCACCGACGGAGCACAAGGAACGGGAGTCGGCTGGGCCACCAACGAAGCTGGTGCTGGTCGGACCACCGACGAAGCACGAGGAACAGGAGTCGGCTGGGCCACCAACGAAGCTGGCGTTGGTCGGACCACCGACGAAGGAACAGGAGTCAGCTGGTGATCAGGCTGGCTGCTAGCAGCGCTAGCAGGCCGGGGATCAGGCAGGTGGGCAGGCACAAAGCTAGTAGCACTAGCTGGCCTGGGATCACGCTGGTTGCAGACCGGTCGCTGCTGGTGACCTGGTCGCCTCCGATGACCACCACGGGAACCCGAAAAGATGGCCAGGCGACTTCCCTCGAAGGAGGACTCCGGGGGGAGCCTAGCCTCCAGGCTATCAGGCCATAGGCTAGCTGGTCGACTCCGAGCTGGGTGGCTGACTGGTTGGGAACTAGCAATCCTAGGGCTCTCTGGTTCTAACGAAGCTGGTGTTGGTTGGTCCACCGACGGGGATGATGCAGGTGCCAGTCTCTTGGCCGCTCGTCGTCGTGGCCTATGTCGTCCTCCAGCTGGCCTCACTGGAGGTGGATCCGACGCAGAGTTCGACGAGGTGCGAGCCTCCAGGCTAGTAGGCCCAGAACCGGAGCTGTGTAGGTCTGCTAGCAGCCCGCTAGCAGACCGGTCTCCCTCCGACCAGTGGTTGGTTGGCTGGGGACACTCCGTCTGTTCACTCTCTGGCTCCAAAGGTAAGTCCAACAGAAAGGCAGCCAGAGAGCTGGAAGTCCAAGAATCCCCAACCAACCTGGAAGTTTGAGCCAACTTGGAGGGGGATGGAGCAGGCAGATGACTAGCCCCTGCAGTGGTAGCAGGCCAGGAAACAGGCAGGGAGCTAGCCGCTGGAGCGCTAGCAGGCTGGGAAAAAGGCAGGCTTGGAGAGTGGCTGTACAGGCTGATGGTGCCAAGCCTGACTGATCGGGACGCAGGCTGGGGAACATATAGCCTGGAGCTAGCAGCGCTAGCGGAACAGGGATCAGGCTGGCGGCTAGCAGCGCTAGCGGGCCAGGGATCAGGCTGGCGACTGGCAGCGCTAGCCAGGAAGGACGGGTGGATGCTTCCCTGCATGCAGCCGGCAGGCCGGGGCTCGGGGCTAGCAGGCTTAGCAGTCACACACTGGGGGGTTATGGAACACAACTTGGAAACAGTCTCAAAAACAAATGTCTTTTTCCACCTGGAGGATGCCACAAGCATTGCCATTTCTGGGTCGGTCCTCCACATTACAGACAGCAGATCAAAAAACTGGGATTCCTCCTCCACTAGCTCCTGTTTTGGCACTCCTAATGCCTCCCAGGTGCTAGGCAGTCTCACGATGTCCGCTGGGTCCATCTTTGGTCGGGTCATTCTGTCACGATCGGTGGTGTGGAGCAGGGTGGAGCAGGTTGGAGGACCCAAAAGCAGGACACAGAGCGGAGCAGATATGGTTCAGTGGTTTAATAAACAAACAAAAGGCGAGCACACTTACAAACTGAGTGGCTGCTGACAGAATCCCAAAACAAAGGCTGTCCAACAGAAATCCAAAAGGGTGAAAACCAGAATCCAAAACTGAGCAGGGTAACAACGAGACACGGCGAGTAAGGCTGAAGACACGAGAACAAACTGCAACACTGGGTGACAACATACAATGACCTGACAAAGACAAGACAGAAACACCAGGTATATATACACACACAGGGACTAACGAGCAGGGCGGGAGCAACACAGGTGAAAGACATGAGGCTAATGAGACACAGGCAGGGAGAGAGAGAGCGCGAGTGTAGGGGAAAACAGAGACAGAAATGCAGAGTGTGACAGCAACCATTCTTAGGTCCTGAAAGGCTGAGATTTCCCTTAGTATTGAGTCTAAAATTTCAATTAGTAGATGAAATCAGATGAAATCTATTGATATCTGGACTGTGTTTATATAATTTTCTTTAGGAACATTTACATAATTTATGAGTAATGCTGTCCCACTGATTAGTTACTTTATGAATTATTTACAATGGCTTCGTAATTTACCTCTGTCACAAAAGAGGTGGGGTTTTTTTTTTTTTACTTTTCTTCGGCAGGTACAGGTGATCACAGTCCTGCAGTCCATCTGTCTTTACACAGTACATTTTACAATTTTTCTATCTAGATCAAAATCAGTTCATGAAGAGGTGCAGGCAACTCAAGTTTGCACTCAAATAAACAAAGCCAATGAGAGAACAGCCTGAACCTCTGATAGGTGGTTTGGATATTTAAGCAGGATACCACTGGCAAGTGGGAGATTTGTGTTTGCTTTCCATTTGATTATACAACAAAAGAAACAAGTATTTTTAGATACCGCCCTCCTCCGTCGCTTTGGACAGATTTCGTTTACTAGCAAATGAGCATGGGGGTACAGACCCTCCTCTCTGCTTCACTGAGCAGTTTGTATAATGTTCTCATTGATTTCAGCCTGGATACTACAGCATCATGGATGACACTTCCACGTTGGCCAAAATGGAAAGGATCTACCTCATTTATTGCTATAGCTCACAATAAGCTGAGGATGTGTATATAGGCGCGCGTGTGTGTGTGTGTGTGTGTGTGTGTGTGCACGTGTGAGGGAGAAAGACAAATTTTGAGAATTTAGATAGTAGTATGTTTGAGTGCATGTGTGTGTGTGGTTATTGGTTGTATGATCACTGTATTATATATATGTGTGTAAGTGTCCTACATGTCATAGGGTGTTAAGATTGCTGATGCCTTTTTCAGGACAAAGATATCAGCATTATAGTGCTCCAGAGAACAACACCACCATGGTGAAAACAAATGAAAAGCCTCATATGTCAACTTCTCTCCTCCAAAACTAGACAACTAGGACATACAGACATAAGGCGCATGATACCGGCAGTGAACATACGGGTGGCAGCTGTACACATCATGTCATTCGGTTGTGGCTGCTGTGAAAGGGGACTTTGTCAGACAAATTCAAGTTTGTTAATGTAACTTTCATACGTTGGGGAAATGTGTAAAATAATTTAACTGATGCTAAACATGAAATTCTTTAAGCTACTCTTTTTAAAAACATTCAGAAAGTTGAAAAAAACCCTAACCATTTTACAAACACACACATTACACCAGGAGGCAGAGACACACAGAAATGCAAGCCTCACTGAACTTATCCCTACAGTTTCATTATATCCTCTGCAACATGGAGTAAAAAATATTTTTATGTTGATTCTTTCATCAGCATGTGCACTCTTCTGCAGAACGTGTATCATGTCAATAAATATTCTTATCATTAACTTTTATAACGCAGCAGTGGCTTGGCCATATCCCAGATCTGGGAATGTTTTGTTTTTTTTACATTTCTAGTTCACAGCAGTTTAGAAAAAAAGAAGACTAAGTCTGTAGTTAGATGGTTATCATGGCTCACAAGACATAAAGCACCCCCTACAGAGACTTAGCTGACAGAAAATCAAAGAGAAGAGAATGTCACATTATGACAATGTCATTCAAATGTGGCAGGAAAGCACCACAGCATTTTGCACTTGCTCCAAAAATGTCTATAAAATCAAGGTGCTCAAAAACTGATGCAACTGTCATATACATGTATTGCAACCAGGGATCTGTCAGAGTTCAAAGCCATCAAATTCATTTTATGTTGCTGTTGTCTTTTGTTGAATTTTGCCACCTCATTAAACTGTTACAGTAAATACTGATAATCAGTATTGAACTCATGTTAGGGGCCCTTTACTTCAAATAAAATACTATACAGATGTAGAGTCGAGTAGCCTGTAGAGTTTCATTATATATACTACAATAAACAGTAAAACCTTTGAAAGATTTTATGATCATCTCAATTTGCTATTCATTCAAAGATTTGTATTTGTCACATGGACACCACAGGATGTACAGTGAAATGACAAGCACTACAGGATTGTGCAAAAGACAAAATATGCAGTATAAATAGAAAACCTTTTTTATTTCACATTTTTTTCTAAATATGTGATCAATCTAAAGTGGGCAAACTGAATTTCTTGGTCGTAACTTTGCAATAAAAGTTACGATGAAATCAAATTAAGAGATGGGGACCAACTGACAGGACAGTTGTGAAGAAGGTTTTAATAAATTCTGGGAATTGGATCATAGCAAAAGTCAACAGAAGGAAGGACTGCTCGCCTGCTGTTTTGATACTCCAAAAGTTTGTCTCATTAACAAAAACACACTCTTTGTAGTGTGAGAAAACATGTTGGGTTTAAAAGTTAATCAAAGCACTAATATACAGCTGTCTGTGGGGGGTTCTGAGGACCTTGTAAATGTTTCTGTTCTCATTTATGTGATGAGCTCCTCCTAAAGCATCTAATCAGATTATATTCAAGCCCACCAGAAATCACCAAGTTATTACAGACTTAATGAATGAATGAGATCTTTGGGCCTATGCTTTCTTTTATCATGATCACAGAACACACACACACACACACACACACACACACACAGCTTTGTGGCAATATCTTTGTGGGAACCCCATATTGACAAAATGCATTCCCTAACCTTAACCATCACAACTACTTGCCTAACCTTAACCTAATTCTAACCAAGTCTTGACCACATAAAATAAATAGAAGTAGATATCAGGCCTACCTGTATCAGCGATATATTACTGAGGTCCAGTCTGAACAGGTAGTTTCTGGATTGGGGAGATATGAAAAGGAGATATGTGAGTGTGTGCACTATATAAAACGATATATTTAAATCCTTTTACAGATAAGAAAATGTGTTTAATAATGCAAATTTAGTATCAGAGATGACAGACCTTATCAAGTCATTGTTGTTTGATTTATGGAAGTTTGAGTTATGTGGCAACTAATAGTTCATGTGCATGAAATAGCAATTGTGTATGCATGTGCTTTAACAGGGTCAAACCAGGCAAAGGTTGAACTTATGTCAGCTCACAAGAAAATTCACACACACACACACACACACACACACACACACACACACACACACACACACACACACACACACTATTGTAGCATGACGTACTTCTTCCAAATTCATCCCTTCTGCCAAATTTAAACCTCGACTTAGTCCAACGAAGCCTCAGCAGAGGACTTCAGGAGCATCATTATCTGAAAACCACACTATATGAGTGAGTCAGAAAGGGTATCACATTCTTACTAATGTGCTCTACGAGGTGAAAAGCTGAGTAAATGTACAGTTTCTTACCTGGCACCCACAATAAGCTCATTCCTAGTCAGGTCAAGGGTGAGCTGGGAGTAGTCTCTCACGCCGGGGTGGGAGAAAGTGGAAATCAACGGACTGAGTGCTGAGAGAAACAAAGGGGGAAAAGAGATTAGCAAAAGCAAAATCATGTCATTGTTCATGAAATAAAAACAGTGACATTTACAGACAATACACATAAAGTATCATTTACTAATACACACAAACCCTTTTACATTTAGTATTTTATATATTTATTATGTACTATTTACTTATGTTCCAATGCATTACATGTCTGTGAATTAATATATACATTAACTTCATAGTAGTAGTGTAATCTTTAAAGCCATGGGGTGCCAGTTAGCTCACCGCTAGAGCGTGCACCCCATTTACACAGGCTAGGCCACAGCAACCCAGGTTGGAGTTTGAGTCTGGCCTGCAGCGCTTTGCTGCATGTCAACCACTTACTCTCTCCCACATTTCCTGTCTATTTTTTATATCCTCCCAAAAACATTTGGCTACACTGCTGATTTCAGCTTCTTTCAGTTCTTGTTTGTTTCGGGGTGTTTCTCCCTCCAGTCTCCTCTTAAGGAGGTGACATGCAGCTCTATTGGGTTCAGGTCAGCTGATTGACTTGGCCAGTCTAAAACCTTCCACTTTTTCCCCTGATGAAGTCCTTTGTTTTGTTGGCAGTGTGCTTTGGGTCATTGTCCTGCTGCATGATAAACTTCCTCACCATTAGTTTCAATGCATTTCTCTGTAAACTGGCAGACAAAATGTTTCTGTCTACTTCTGAATTCATTCTGCTGCGACCATCATCAGTTACATCATCAATAAATATTAATGAGCCTGTTCCAGAAGCAGCCGTGACATGACCTCCACCATGCTTCACAGATGAGCTTGTATTCTTCAGATCATCAGCACTTCCTTTCTTTCTCCACACTTTGGTCTTTCCATCACTTTGCTAGAGATTAATCTTGGGCTCATCAGTCAATCAGATCGTGTTCCAGAACTTTTGCAGCTCATCTCTGTACTTCTTTGCAAATGTCAATCTGGCCTTCTGATTCTTGCTGCTGATGAGTGGTTTGCTTCTTGTGGTGTGGCCTCTAGATTTCTGCTCTCTGAGTCTTCTTCCAACAGTGGATTGTGATACCTTCACCCTGCACTGTGGAGGTCGTTGCTGATGTCACTTACTGATGTTTTGGGGGTTTTCTTCACACTACTTCACTTCTACCACGAAATGAGAGCTGAAATTCTGAACTCTTGTCTCATACTCATCTTTTGATCTGAAATCCAAATGTCTTCAGTGAACAACAAAAACAGAGGAATTTGCCTTACTGTTCCAATACTTTTGGAGGGGACTGTATCTGCCACAATCTGTTTTTTTTTGCTCTCCAGATGCTGATTAGGAGAGGGGTAGTTTTCACTGAGCTGCAGTCATACTGAACTTGGACTCAAGGTTTTGTAGTTATGACAAGTTAATTCATATTTAAAGAGTGGAATTTTCCAATTCCAATATGATTGTATGTTATAATTTTTAGGATAAGGCTTCTTTTATTCTATATGTTTCTAATTGTCAACACATCTCATAAAAAAGACCAAAACAATACGTTAGTCCTAAAAAACCCTTAACCCTAATCCTGCTGACTGTCAACACCTTGCTCCTTTGTCAGCCCAAATTATATACATAGTGGGATCATCAGTCATAGTGTGTCCCTGTCTTATTTGTGGATTACTTAGAAAGTGACATTTCTGCAAGTGACTGGAGGACCCTGAACAAAAGGTTTGTAGTTGGCATTAATGTATCATGTATAACACTATGCAAACCACACATACAGGCATAGAAATTAATTTACAGAAAATATTTACAATCTCAATCATGTTTGCAATTAGATATCACATTTTTTTCAGGCCTCAGTGAAACTATCATATTTACAGTATGTAGCATGGAAACATACCAAATTCAAACGCAAATTCAGCAAAAGGCCATCTCTTACTCTCTCCATAAATATCTATATTACGTATATGTACATAGATTGCCGGATGGGTGTGCAAACCATACAAGGGAGTGAGAAGAAGAAGGCCATAGAATGTCTACAACAACTTCAGAGAGAAAACTCCATCAACTGAGAAAAGTATTACCATTTGTATCCTGGAGAAGACATTCCTTGCATATATGGACTGCCCAAAATACACAAAGAAGGCGCCCCACTCAGGCCAATTATCAGCAGCATCAACTCGGTCACCTAAAACATTGCCAAACACATATCTACCATCTTAGCCCCTTTGGTTGGTAACATGCCCCACCACATCCAGAACTCTATTGACTTTGTAAAGAAACGGCTACTTCAATACCACAACCTGGACAGCAGAACCAACCTCAGCCCTGACCAGATCTGCAAATTACTCGACCTCTGTCTAAACACCACCTACTTCCAGTACAACGGTGGATTCTACAGACAGAAGCATGGCTGTGCCATGGGCTCACCGGTATCCCCGATTGTGGCCAACATCTACATGGAAGAAGTGGAGAATAAAGCCCTCAACTCCTTCAGAGGAACAGCACCGAGCCACTGGTACAGATATGTGGATGACACCTGGGTCAAAATTAAAAGCCTTCACAGAACACATCAACTCTGTGGACAGTAACATCAAGTTCACACGAGAAGATGTTCACAACAACAGTTTGGCCTTCCTGGACTGCGCTGTACACATTGAAGAGGACAGGAGCCTGCAGATTGGTGTTTACAGAAAACCCACACACACAGACCAATACCTACTGTTCGATTCCCACCACCCACTGGAGCACAAGCTAGGGGTCATGAGAACACTGCACCACAGAGCGGAGAACATACCAACAAGCGCCCAAGCCAGAGAGAAGGAACAGAACCACCTGAAGGGGGCACTTACAGCCTGTGGAGACCCTAAATGGACCTTTGTGAAAACAGCCACAAGATCCAAGAAGAACAAAACTACAGGGGAGGAAAAGAAGGTCAAACGCAACAACATTGTGATTCCATACGTGTCTGAGGTATCAGAGAAACTCAGGAGGATTTTCAACAAACAAGAACAAACCCAAGAACACACTAAGACAGATGCTGGTCCACCCCAAAGACCGCACACCCAAACACAAGAAAAGCAATCTAGTGTATGCGGTCCAATGCAGTGAGGAATGCACAGACCTGTATATTGGGGAGACTAAACAACCACGACACAAACGCATGGCTCAACACAGAAGGGCCAACTCCTCAGGTCAAGACTCTGCAGTCTACTTACATCTGAAGGACAGAGGACACTCGTTTGAGGACCACCAGGTGCACATTTTAGACAGAGAAGATGGATGGTTTGAAAGAGGTGTCAAGGAAGCATCTACACCAGGGTGGAGAAGCCGTCATTGAACAGGGGAGGGGGTCTACGCCACCACTTATCCCCCACTTACAATGCTGTCCTTTCATCACTTCCCAGGAAACTCAACAAACGCAACCTATTGGCCTCAGGTGAAGATACCAACGATGGTCGTTCAGTCTTGGCCACAGGTAGTCTCAACGACTGTAACGACTGTCGTCACAGCAACAAGGAACACTAACGAACCAGCGGTATCGATGACCCGGGCCAACGACCCCACTGAGGTTAAATAGCTGAGTTTCCCTGCCAGTCAGTCAGAACTGAAGAAGTCCTTTGGATGAGGGACGAAACGTCTTCCAGTATCTTCAACCAAGTCCAACTGCCCTTGATTTTAACCTTCGCTGGATTCCTTCCTTGATGAAGGTGCAGAGTTTATCTATTTATCTTACAAACCAAGCTTCCAATGCTGTATTCCTGCGATGCATCTATGGCATGGTTGACATAAAACGCTGGCACGTATTCTGGAACAGCAGACATGTTCACTGTTCCAGAAGACGTGCAGTGTTCACGGTGTGTTCTTGGAGATTGGAAACCACCATTCTGTAAGTAAAGCTGTTGGAGAAGTTTGATGCTAAACATGGTAGATGTCTAGATAGTGTCATGCATCCTTTCCTAATGACACCCATTACTGCTTTCAACTACAGTATTTACATCACATCACACCTCAAGGCAGTGCTTTTCTTTCAACTTTTCTGTTTTGGTTCACTCTCACTGCTCTCATAACGTTGTTTTTAGCCACAGCAGGCAGCTGGTTTCAGCCTAAAAAGCCACTGTACACTACCTGCTCAGCACCAAACTGAAGACAGTCAGCAACTAGCTGGTGAACATAGTGGGGCATTTCAGCAGCTGAAGAGCTAGATGTTTCCTCCAGGAATTGGAAGAGAACAAAAACAGAGCTGAGTGAAATAGGGCCTACATTCACAAAGGGTTGCTCTGTATCTGCTGGATGTGTAAATAAGCTGTTTGCTAGCATGTTAGTCATAAGAACTTAACCTTCTGGTCTCATTATATATGTGCATTAAGAGAGAAAAATGTCCGTTCTAAACACTACCATAAAATTATTATATTATTATTTTTTCCACTTTCACAGAGTTAAATCTTTTAACAAACATCAATCTTGATCATAAGTACCAAATATTTATTTAATTTTCAGAATTTTAACTCCTTAAATGCCATTTGTTTACATGATGCCACTGTTTTTATTGATGGAAAAAACATTTTTAAAAATTGTGTACTACATGCTAGGTGGATATCTTGGGAGGGAATTATCATAGGTCCTTAATTTCAGGATTTTAACCCCTTAAATTCCAGTTATTGTAATGAAACTTAATTTGCATGAGAGGAAAAAACAATAAAATGTAATTACTTTCCATATAATATATGCAAAGGTAAAACTTTAGCTTTGGATTGTCACAGTCTTGAAAATGTCAAAGATTAGCAGCAACATTGTTATTATTTTTGGTGCATTTAAAAATTTTGTGTTATATCAGATTTAAAAAAATTTGAGCTGCAAGCAAAGTTGGGCGGGCCCTCGCTCGTGTAACTCATCGGGGTGTGAGGCGGCAGCGTTATATTCTGGAGCTCTGTCGGTGCGGCTGTGAATTTGCTACGCGCTTCGGATGCTGCACGAAGGTATTATACGTCACTTCCTGTGTCCCCTTTGTGGCGCTACATAGCACTTGGCACTATGAATAGAGAGTTATCAAGCACGTAAAGTTTGGTTCAGATGTGAGCATGTACACTGAAGTTACAACAACTTCCTGTCTCATGGCGAAGAGTTGATCTTTGACGCCACGCCACGGACACGCCCAGAAAAATTCGTGCATGTAGGTTGAACGTGGCCGAGGGGCAAATTTTTTCCAGTTTTGTAGGTGGCGCTAGCGAGTTATTTTGCAACGCCCTGACATGTGTGCAAAGTTTGGTGAGTTTTCATGTATGTTTAGGCCCCCAAAACTGAGCTTACCTCGCACGGTTCGTGCTTGGGCCCTAATAAGATCGAGGACTAAAAAAAAAAAACCACAGGATTATATATCCATTATGGTGGCAGTCAGTGTACTTAAATGCACTTACATGTGTAACCGGCTTTGCAGGTTAGAAATCCAGTTTCTGTAAATCGGGGTCAGGTTTTATTAAAACCTCGTTTACTCAGATTTTGGCTAGAGAGCCTGTTTTCTCTGCTATATTTACACTTACCAAGATTTCAAACAGGGTTTTTACAAGAGTGAATGTACATGTTAGACAAGGTACCGCAGCGGCAGCAGTTCTACAAGATGAAGAAGTCAACATCATTACTTACAGAACTGGGTCCCAGGATCCAAATAAATCTAAAGTCCAACTACAACTGACACATAAACAGCTTCTTTAAGCTAAGCTAAGTACAGAACCCATCACTTTGCTTTCACTCCAAGAAGCTAATCATTTTAAAATCTTTTTTACGACAGTATAGAAGACAAAAAAGAAAAACGTTGTTTTTACAGTGGCCTAACCATTACCTGCATTCTCTCAGTAACCTGTTTTCTTGTGTCCATGTAAACATAGCAAGTATAGCATCATCAGATCTTCACATAAAACAACAGGTTATAGATGATGTCTGACCTTGGATGGAAACTTTTGGGTGTTCTTTTTTCATGCACTCTGGTTGGGTCAGTGGGTCAACCAGTGACGGGGTTGGGGTTGCCGGGACGACAGAGCTCTGCGTGCAGACAGTAGGGAGGAGGAGAAGCAGGAAGAGGACGGCCATAGACGAGGGGGTGGAGTCCTGCGAGGACACTGTCATGGTGATGACCTCCCCTCTAACTGCCAAGGTGAGCCTCTGGGATACAGCTGGAGAAGAGAAGAGACTACTTCAGCACCTCACCGCAACATTTTTACACTTGGCTACAGAGAAAGTAAGCTCTCTCTGGGTCACTTCAAAATCATTTCTTCTCTTCAACTTTCAATTCCTTAGGGCTTCCGACTCTGAATCCAGCATAGAGGAACAGAAGGAGAATGAATAAAAGTCATGCAAAAGGTATAAAATTTTGGTAAAATGGACATAACCGTGGGATGAAAACAAAGATGTTATGTAATTAGAGGGTGGCTGCAAAGAGAACATATAAAGCTTAGTAAACTTAAAATACAGGTACAAAAAAGGAGGGCGAGAGAGGTGGAGGCCATACAGGACACAGAGCACAAAAACTGCCCAGAAAACTCTTGCGCTTTAGCAATGAGCCATCTCGAAGAAATACCTAACCTCTGACCTCGAGGTAATTAGTTAAAATGTGAAATTAAACTTTGGGAGTTAATTTAACAGCTGATTAAAATTAGAAATTTTAATCGCTCTGTTCCCCGTGCAGCCTTGGGACTCTCGGATCACTGTCTGGTTCATCTTCTCCCGACACACAGGCAGCGACTGAAATCTGCTAAACCTGTTGTAAAGACTGTGAAAAGATGGACCAACGAGTCAAAGCTGGAGTTACAGGCCTGCTTTGACTGACTGCAGCCACTGACCTGGACGAACTAACTGACACTGTGACATCTTATCATCAGTTTTTGTGAGGACGTGTGTGCCGACTAAAACCTTCTGCACACACAACAACCAAAAACCCTGGTTCACAGCAAAACTCAGGCAGCTTCGTCAGACCAAGGAGGAGGCCTTCAGAAGTGGGAACAGAGTCCTGTACAACCAGGCCAGGAAAGACTAAAGAGGTCAAAGCTGCAAAGAGGTGCTACACTGAAAAGCTAAATAACAGCTTCACAGCCAACGACCCTGCATCAGTGTGCAGACACTCACAAACTACAAGAGACCATCCCCCAACACTGCTGGTACTCAACGACTGGCACGAAAGCTGAATGGTTTCTACTGAAGGTTTGAAAAGCCTTGAGTCACAGCTCTCCCCCACTCCAACACCATCTTCAAACAGTCACCTTCCCCCTCTGACCTCTCACCTGCACTCAAGATCTGTGAAGAGGACGTGAGCCACCTCTTCCAAAGGCAGAAGATCAGGAAGGCTCCTGGCCCCGACAGTGTGTCTCCATCCTGCCTGAAAATCTGTGCAGACCAGCTGGCCCCCATCTTCACTCAGATCTTCAACAAATCACTGGAGCTGTGTGAAGTTCCCTCCTGCTTCAAACGCTCCACAATCATCCCGGTCCCCAAAAAACCCTCCATCTCTGGACTAAATGACTACAGGCCCGTCGCCCTGACATCTGTAGTCATGAAGTCCTTTGAAAGACTGGTGTTGGCCCACCTGAAGGACATTACAGGCCCCCCTGCTGGACCCCCTGTAGTTTGCCTACAGGGCTGCATTCCATCCTGAAATACCTCGACTCTCCACGGACATATGCAAGGATCCTGTTCGTGGACTTCAGCTCGGTGTTCAACACCATCATCTCAGAAATCCTCAGCACCAAACTCACCCAGCTCACTGTGCCGGCCTCCACCTGTCAGTTCAATTCAATTCAGTTTTATTTATATAGCGCCAAATCACAACAACAGTTATCTCACAGCGCTTTTCATAAAAGAGCAGGTCTAGACCGTACTCTATGATGATATTTACAGAAGCCCAACAGTTCCCACCAAGAGCAGCACTAGGAGACAGAGGCAAGGAAAAACTTCCTTTAAGAGGCAGAAACCTCGAGCAGAACCATGGCTCAGGGTGGGCGGCCATCTGCCTCCACCGGTTGGGGTGAAGGAGAGAGAGGGAGAGAGAGAGAGAGAGAGAGAGAGAGAGAGAGAGGGCAGGAGAGGAACAGAGAGAAAAAGAGAGAGGGATGGAAGGAGAGAGCAAAACGGTCATCGTCTGCATCGTCGGTGACGAGTCGGCCTACAGACGGGAGGTTGATCAGCTGACTCTCTGGTGCGGTCAGAACAACCTGGAGCTTAACACACTCAAAACTGTGGAGATGATCGTGGACTTCAGGAGGAGCCCCCCCACTCTGCCCCCCATCACCATACTCAACAGTCCTGTGTCTGCTGTGGAATCCTTCAGGTTTCTGTTATCCACTATATGCCAGGACCTGAAGTGGGAGCCCAACACTGACACTATCATCAAGAAGGCCCAGCAGAGGATGTACTTCCTGCGTCAGCTCAGGAAGCTCAACCTGCCTAAGGAGCTGCTGATCCAGTTCTACACAGCCATCATCCAGTCTGGTTTGGATCTGCCACCAAAAAGGACAGGGACAGACTACAATGGACAGTCAGCGTGGATATCAAAAATGTATAGAAAGTCACATCATACACTCGCACACACACACACACACACAAACAAACACACACACACACACACACACACACACAAACTTACTGATGGTGACATGGACTTAGTTTCACATTTGAGGGAGGGCTGTCGGTATATGTAAAGATCTATCAGCACATTACACAGCACATTTCAGAGGAAAATACTCTTGATGGAAGTCATTAAGTGGGGAAGTTCTGTGGTGATATGCTTTAGTTATTTTCTTTTCTGCAGTGACTTTTTAATTAGTGACGCATTTTAATTAGTTAACGCCTAATTTGCATATCAATGTGGCGATTGTGATGACGTTATTAGACACAAATGTTACTGTGTTCACCTGTAGTGTCTCCATCAGTACATTAGGTTGTAAGGCCATGAGATATTGCCTTAGCTAAACTTCAGCTAACTTATTACAGTAGCTCAGCTCACGAGTCATGCGTTAGCAAGACATGGGCCTATATTTACTTTTGTCTTTTGTTTAATTAGCGGTAAACTGGAGGCACTGGTAGTTTAGTCTTTTGTTCATCACCACTCACCTCCACACAAGCCAAGAAAAACCCTGCTGGGAGAGAAGCTGGAGGGGCTGCTGTCTGGATGTGTGCTGCGCTCTGGTCGCGCAGTGAGATGCGGAGTGAGCGATGGGGGGGCATCGGAACTCCAAAGTCTCATCTTCCGACCTGATAGCCTATTTAGATTTTTCCCCCAATAAATATATTTGTTTGACAGGGAATCTGTTATAAATATACTGTATATTCATTTATTTAAAAAAAAACAAGAACAACAACAACAAAACAAGCTTCCCAGAAAAAAGGGCACTTTCTCTTGAGGAAGAAAGAGGGCACGTGCTGAAGCCCCTTTTGATGTCTATGTGTGCACGTGCCTGTTTCCAGTACAAGATATTCCAAAGCCCTATCCTTAGGCGTCTTATGAACTTTTCCTCCAGGTTTTTACGAACAAGGGTTCTCAAGAGCCTGTCAAATTCTGGTGCGTATGTCTGTTTCCTGCGTTTTCCCTGATTACACAATTGTGGATTTTTAATATTTAAAAAAATACAATTACCCTGGTCAGTAAAACTGTTGAAAATATTTTCAGTCAGTTAAATAAAGATTCATGTGAATTTACACATCCCAGATTTTGATATTGATTGCAATTTGGGAAAAATCCTAATTTTTATTGAAAATAGGTTTGTATGTATGTATAGAACATCCATCAATAATAATTATAAATTATAAAAATAGCAGTAGATGACACTCTTTGTTATGTATAGCACCTTATGTGTTTTAGCCAGGGGGGCGGGCGGGTAAGGAGGGTGGGGGTTAGGGGGTGGTGGTGTAGAGGCACACTGCCATGTCCTTTTAGAAGTTTTAGGCTTTGGATATTTTATAATGTTCTATGCTTATTGTTTGTTTTGATGTTTTTATGTATGGATTGCCGAAAGTCTCCTGTCTGCACAAAAATTTTACCCTCGGGTACTAATAAAGACACCTTGACCTTGACCTTGATTAATATTTCACTCACTGGTAGCAGTGCAAATATTGGCACTTCCTCAGTGCTGCTCTCAGTAGATTCACAACACTAAGCATGTCCATAAATGACAAGAATTAACTTAAGTGCTTAATATAATTACTATTTTCATATATATTATATTCAATTAGGTACTACACATAACGGATATTGTTGTTCATATATAGATGATTGTAAAGTGACAAGAGACAAAACATTATTCAAAGTGTTTAGAGTAGCTGTGTTATGTGGAGACGAGGAAAAAAAGACCGTCACTCTGTCTTTTTTCGGGGGTATTGTGCCGATATGCGGCTGGCTGTTTTGAATGAAAGGCACGGAGCCAGCGATGATCTGCCTCTGAGCCAGGAACGTCGAAGTGACAGAGCCTGAACATGCCTGTGTGAAAAGCCACAGCTGGCATGCCAGCGTTTCTGCGTTTGTTGTGGGATTTCTGTATGGAAGCGGTTGTGTTTTGGATTATGCTCGCTCATGAGTTCAAGCGAGCACGCGTACCAGCAGACACCTGGTTGCAATTTTAAAACCGCACCGTTAGTTGCCGCTGAAATCATCATAATACAATTCAATGGAAACCAAATGAAATATAACTGCTCTGCCATGAACTTTTTTAATGGCTGAAAGAGTAGCTGTGTCATGTGGAGACGGGGGGAAAAAGACGCGAGCTCCCGTCAGACTCGGGAGGAGAATTCTGATAATCCACAAGGCAGCCTTCTCACTAATTCAGAGGTTTACAGCAGCAGGGTGTTTTCCAATGTTTGAATAGTAATGAGTCAGCAGTAATTAGTGAAGAGAATCCATACAAGTCTTTCCATACAACATTTATCCAACATATAGAGCACATAGATGATTTCAAAGGCATTTAATGTGTTACGGGGTGTGGTGTGTGGACAGAGAGGACCCAAATGCAGCGTTCAGAGGGAAGGAGGTTTATTGGGGGAAAAAAGGGTGAGAGGGACTGGAGTGGAGGGAGAGGAGGACGTCGGGGAAGTACTGGCACGGGGAACCAAGGAGACCGGGGGCCAGGGAACACAGGGGCCAAGGAAGCGAGGAGAGGCAGGGGAACAGGGAGGACGCCGAGAGGGAGGTCCGAAGGGGAGTGGGCCAGTGGATGAGCCCAGCCGAACGGAGGACGAGGGTGAGAGTACCTGGGAGGGAAACAGACAAGGTTAGGGGGAGACAATGACAAGGCAAGTTTGAAAAAACAAGAAACGAGGAAGCCTGAACACAGAAGTGGCACCAGGTATGGAGCAATGACGATCAAGCAAGGATGGTGTGGAGAACCGGGGTTGAAATACAGGCTGGGATGAGGTTGATTACTGGCAGGTGTGGCAGGCTGACGAGGTGGATGATGGGTTGCAGGTGCAGGTAGTTGGCTGGGCTCAGGAGCAGAGGGAGAGAGAGCACACGGGGGAGAAAACACAGAGAGGCGGGCAGAGAACAGGAAACCAAGGGAAAAAGCAGAAAACTGATAAAAAGGAGGAAAAACCAGGACACTTACCGTCAGCCGGGCTGCCACCACAACATAATGTACAATCTCACCTTCACCATGGATGCACTAGTGGGTAAGGAGTGACATCTTGTACTCAATCCTGAGTGAGACAGGAAGCCAGTAAATTCAGAAAATTCTAAAAGGTTTAGAAACTTCGAGCACCACTGTATAGCATACATCCATGGCAATAATTAACGTCATGTAATGTTATCCAACGAAGGTTAAAATGAAGGGCAACTGGACTTGGTTGAAGCTACTGGAAGACGTTTCGTGATGAACTGAAGAAGTCCTTTGGATAAGGGACGAAACGTCTTCCAGTATCTTCAACCAAGTCCAGTTGCCCTTCATTTTAACCTTCGTTGGATAACTATGACCTGGATGACTGAGAATCTTCATAGACGTCATGTAATGTTATGTATTAATATAAATGTACGAGCTATGGCTGCAGAACATTGACTGTGAAGCCATAACACTTATGAGGTTCTCAAGAGCAACAGGCCTGTAGAAAGTCCAAAAACATAATTAAATTATAAAAGAAAAGGCTGTCAATGCTGAGAATGTCTTCTGAAGACGTCAGTCAGGTGTGTGAGGCCATATTTAAAATGTTCTGGCTGATATTGTACAACAGTATGCTTAAATCTTTTCATTTCAAGCAAAAAACTATTTATAAACTATATATATGTAAACTAACTAGAGCACAACTACCATGGCATGTGGCCTTCTTAATTCTTCTTAATTTCTAATAGTGTTGACCACAGACTCCAGACCTGTTATTGAGAGAAAGTCTGACCACTCAGTGTTCACCTGATCAACATTCAGGGCCACAGTGCTGACTTTGTAGGTGCGGGCATACTGTACTGGCTGAGGCCCAGGAGGTCTTCTGGCTGGCAGCTTTTCTGCACAGTTAGCTTCAACTTTTTAAAGGTTTCCCTCATCTAGGCCTGTGTGTTTTTTGAATAATATATACATAAATGCCAATTTGTTTTACTCATAGGGGGAGGAGCTGCTCTCATAAAACATAGGAGGGAGGAACTGCTTGGTCAGGTCAAAGTTCAACTAAAAAGCCAACGTAGTCTTTTTTTTAAATTTTAACTTTGTTTTTTGTTTGTATTTGTTAGCATACAATATCAGCCAGAACATTTTAAATGTGGCCTCAGAGGCCTGACTGACGTCCTGAGAAGACATTATCAGCATTGACAGCCTGTTTTTTAATAATGTAATTAAGTTTTTGGACTTTCTTTTGAGGACCTCGTAAAATGCTCTTAAGTCATGGCTTCACAGTCAATGTTCTGCAGCCATAGATTGTACATTAAATGCATTTGAAAGTATGTATGTGCTCTATATGTTGAATAATTGTTGTATGGAAAGTGTTCTCTTCACTTGCATGATACAGTGGGAGTGTTGTATGTTATACACATGGAGAAGAAAGATTCACACAGTATATAGCACACTGGTAAATCCTTCTTTTGGCCAGATATGAAGTTAATTAGCTAACTTAAGTTCAGGAGCAGGGCCACGCCTAAAACCACACCTCTAATCAGCTGACAAGTATATCTACACCGGGGCTATTCAACCAGCCTCCTCTGTCTCAGTTTGCTCGACCCACCCTCCCTCTCCCTTCCCTTCATCCACTCACCCTTTACCCTCTCATCCCTTCATCCCTCATCCCTTCCTATTCAACCCGGTGCACCACTCTCTCATGTCTCATCTAGGTACCGTCTGGGGGGTCAATAAATCACTCGGGCGAAACTTCTACCGAGACGGAACCCCCAGCTGCCCGCTCATCATGCAGCCTCCCAGATCAGCATCCAGATGGCATCCTTTCTCCACCTCCATTCCCCCCCTTACATTCATTCATCTATATGTACATCCAGGACATTCATTAAACCTTTAAACGACATATTGTTGTGGCGTGCTCCTTGCTAGTGAAGGCCTACATTAGGACATTTCTGATGTGCGTTTGTTGTCAGAGCTGCTGAGAAGCTGACAGCAGTGTTAGAACCAGGTTAGAACAGAAGGGCGTGCAGCTTTAACTCTGGGCTGAGGGTGAATGATGAAGATGATAACTAGGCTGCAAATAAGACATAAATATCAAAAACCAAATGAAATGAACAACAATAAATACATCTGTATCGGTAATCTGGATTCAAAACATTTACTAAAGACACAGTACAGGCCACCTGCTGGTAGAAAGGTGAAACAACTTTAAACCAGATTAAATATGAATTTAATATTCAAAATATAGCGCTGACAGTAACAACTCTGCATACACAATCATTTCTTAGGGTAACCTATATTAGCCTACCAACTGTATTGCACCAAACAATGCGCTTAAAAAGAACGTGACTCTTGCTGTTTACATGAATAAATGCACAATATTATAGTGCAGGTAATCAACTACTGTTGCTAACGTATTTCTCTTGGTCCAGGTTTATTTATTTATTTATTTTCATCTAACATCACCCTGGTATAACGTTAGTGTTGCATAATGTTACAGATCTGACCGTTCTAAAAGCTTGGCTTTTATTTTAATGTGAACTATTACTTCACCTGGTCCACCTGTCTTTATTTTCTCAACGTCTATCTTCAAACGGAGAAATAAAAATAGGAATTTCAAAAAACCAAAATCGGGCTGTTATTTGAATTTGGTTTAGTCGTTTTTCGATTCAGAAACCAAAGACGGGAGAACGACTCTTTTATTTAGTTTTTGGTTCAAAATAAAGGTGGTTTTCTCGTTCGTTCGTTTATTGGTTCAAACGAAAAAACAAACTATCAGAACGTACACGGACCTTGGAACTTGGATGGGAGGATCAGTCGTTTGGAATTGTATAATAATAATGATAATTGCATATCAAATTAACTAGATGAACACAATGCACAATATTTAAAAACTATCTATTGGAATGGAGGATCACTTGCTTGGAATTGTAGATCAAATTAACTAGATGAACACATTTGATATCTTTACATAGTAAACAAACATTTGCATATTCTCGTTTTGGAATTATGGCAGCAGAAAGGACCATTCATTTGGAATTTTAAGCGAGCACAAGCAAAGATCAACTTCTGGACTGCTTTTCAAGTCAAGGAGGATCACTCATTTGGACTCAGTGACAACCCAGTCTAACAACACTTACTAATCGCTCAGTCTATGCCTACAAGCTCAATTTTAATCACTTCTTGCTTCCAATCATGTCATTTGCTTCTTTAGCACATAGATGTTTATTGTCACACCTCTTGTCCCCAAATCAAATTCCTTGTTAGTGTAAAAACTACTTGGAAATAAAGCTGTTTCTGTTTCTGATTCTCCTTAAACCCCACATAATATCCTGCACTGCTGATCAACACATCGGTGTGTCTGGAATGTGGAGCAACTTTTTTCAGGAGACTATTGTATGACACTTGTTATGTATTCAAGTACAAGAATTGACACATTTCATAAACAACTTGAATGATATCGAGACATGAATCAGGAGCACAGATCCCATTGCTTGAAACATCTTCAATTTTTATTGAAACATGTACATGTAACTTTGAAAAACATAATTTTTCAGGCAATTTTCTATGTTTTGCATTTAAAAATTTAAATCCAAAGTAGTAAAAAAAAGAAAGGTCCGACAGATGAAGGTTAATAACTGCTGATTAAAGACATTCTTAAATATAAAATAAATGTAAGAAACATTATCTGAGGCTTCAGTATAGGCTTGGGTATAAACAGCCACTACAACAACATCAAAACTTGTAGTCTGATGGCACAGATTGACAGCTTGTCAGCTTGCATCTGAATTATTGAGAGTAAATCCAAGTTCTTGACTTCAGTTTCTTTATCACAGAAGCTGAAGCAGAAAAACAGAAAACGTGCAAAGAAAAGCCCTTCAGTTATCTTTCTTTAGTCTTTTTCTTTTGAGGTCACTTGGTGCCTTCTTTCTTTTTAGAACATTTTTTGGGGAGGACCAAGATTTGGGGGGGTTGCGAAGCATTTCTGGTCTCAACAGCAGCCTTGCAGCCTTTGCTCTTGTTGTATATTCAGTTTGTTGTCCATCTCCTTCGTCTGTCCCAGCAGTTTGGGTCCTTGTGTTTGTGTTGCCTTCAGTTGTCTCCTTGTCTCTGCTTTCTTCTTGGTCTTTCATCCTTGGTCTCTTGTGTCCTTTATTTTTTCTTGTTTCCTCAATTTTTACAGGGCAGAAAGATTTTCTGGGGTTTTTAAGTCTTTTGCTACGGAGCAATTTTGGGCTGAAGAGCTGCCTTTCAGCCTTTGTTTTAATGTTCTTTTTTTGACAGCCCCTTTCTCCTTCGTCAGTCTCTGCAGTTTGGATCCTTGTTTTCATGTCGCCTTCAGTTGTCTCCTTGTCTCCTTCATCTGTCTCAGCAGTATGGGTCCTTGTTTTTATGTCGCCTTCAGTTGTCTCCTTGTCTCCTTCATCTGTCTCAGCAGTATGGGTCCTTGTGTTTATGTCGCCTTCAGTTGTCTCCTTGTCTTCGTCTGTCTCTGCAGTTTGGATCCTTGTTTTCATGTCGCCTTCAGTTGTCTCCTTGTCTCCTTCATCTGTCTCAGCAGTATGGGTCCTTGTTTTTATGTCGCCTTCAGTTGTCTCCTTGTCTCCTTCGTCTGTCTCTGCAGTTTGGGTCCTTGTTTTCATGTCGCCTTCAGTTGTCTCCTTGTCTCCTTCATCTGTCTCAGCAGTATGGGTCCTTGTGTTTATGTCGCCTTCAGTTGTCTCCTTGTCTCCTTCATCTGTCTCAGCAGTATGGGTCCTTGTGTTTATGTCGCCTTCAGTTGTCTCCTTGTCTCCTTCATCTGTCTCTGCAGTTTGGGTCCTTGTGTTTATGTCGCCTTCAGTTGTCTCCTTGTCTCCTTCATCTGTCTCTGCAGTTTGGGTCCTTGTGTTTATGTCGCCTTCAGTTGTCTCCTTGTCTCCTTCGTCTGTCTCTGCAGTTTGGGTCCTTGTGTTTATGTCGCCTTCAGTTGTCTCCTTGTCTCCTTCATCTGTCTCAGCAGTATGGGTCCTTGTGTTTATGTCGCCTTCAGTTGTCTCCTTGTCTCCTTCGTCTGTCTCTGCAGTTTGGGTCCTTGTGTTTATGTCGCCTTCAGTTGTCTCCTTGTCTCCTTCATCTGTCTCAGCAGTATGGGTCCTTGTGTTTATGTCGCCTTCAGTTGTCTCCTTGTCTCCTTCGTCTGTCTCTGCAGTTTGGGTCCTTGTGTTTATGTCGCCTTCAGTTGTCTCCTTGTCTCCTTCGTCTGTCTCAGCAGTTTGGGTCCTTGTGTTTATGTTTCCTCCAGTTGTCTCCTTGTCTTCGTCTGTCTCTGCAGTTTGGGTCCTTGTGATTATGTTTCCTTCAGTTGTCTCCTTGTCTTCGTCAGTCTCTGCAGTTTGGATCCTTGTGATTATCTCGCCTTCAGTTGTCTCCTCGTCTTCTTCGTCTGTCTCTGCAGTTTGGGTACGTGTGTTTATGTCGCCTTCAGTTGTCTCCTTGTCTCCTTCATCTGTCTCAGCAGTTTGGGTCCTTGTGTTTATGTCGCCTTCAGTTGTCTCCTTGTCTCCTTCGTCTGTCTCTGCAGTTTGGGTCCTTGTGTTTATGTTGCCTTCAGTTGTCTCCTTGTCTCCTTCATCTGTCTCTGCAGTTTGGGTCCTTGTGTTTATGTCGCCTTCAGTTGTCTCCTTGTCTCCTTCGTCTGTCTCTGCAGTTTGGGTCCTTGTGTTTATGTCACCTTCAGTTGTCTCCTTGACTCCTTCGTCTGACTCTGCAGTATCGGTCCTTTTGTTTATGTTGCCTTCAGTTGTCTCCTTGTCTTCGTCTGTCTCAGCAGTTTGGGTCCTTGTGTTTATGTCGCCTTCAATTGTCTCCTTGTCTTCGTCTGTCTCTACAGTTTGGGTCCTTGTGTTTATGTCGCCTTCAGTTGTCTCCTCGTCTTCTTCGTCTGTCTCAGCAGTTTGGGTCCTTGTGTTTATGTCTCCTTCAGTTGTCTCCTCGTCTTCTTCGTCTGTCTCTGCAGTTTGGGTATGTGTGTTTATGTCGCCTTCAGTTGTCTCCTTGTCTCCTTCATCTGTCTCAGCAGTATGGGTCCTTGTGTTTATGTCTCCTTCAGTTGTCTCCTCGTATCCTTCGTCTGTCTCTGCAGTATGGGTCCTTGTGTTTATGTCTCCTTCAGTTGTCTCCTCGTATCCTTCGTCTGTCTCTGCAGTATGGGTCCTTGTGTTTATGTTTCCTCCAGTTGTCTCCTTGTGTCCTTCGTCTTTCTCTGCAGTTTGGGTCCTTGTGTTTATGTCGCCTTCAGTTGTCTCCTTGTCTTCGTCTGTCTCTGCAGTTTGGGTCCTTGTGATTATGTTTCCTTCATTTGTCTCCTTGTCTTCGTCAGTCTCTGCAGTTTGTATCCTTGTGATTATCTCGCCTTCAGTTGTCTCCTCGTCTCCTTCGTCTGTCTCTGCAGTTTGGGTCCTTGTGTTTATGTCGCCTTCAGTTGTCTCCTTGTCTCCTTCATCTGTCTCAGCAGTTTGGGTCCTTGTGTTTATGTCGCCTTCAGTTGTCTCCTTGTCTCCTTCGTCTGTCTCTGCAGTTTGGGTCCTTGTGTTTATGTCGCCTTCAGTTGTCTCCTTGTCTTCGTCTGTCTCTGCAGTTTGGGTCCTTGTGTTTATGTCGCCTTCAGATGTCTCCATGTCTTCGTCTGTCTCTGCAGTTTGGGTCCTTGTTTTCATGTCGCCTTCAGTTGTCTCCTTGTCTTCGTCTGTCTCTACAGTTTGGGTCCTTGTGTTTATGTCGCCTTCAGTTGTCTCCTCGTCTTCTTCGTCTGTCTCTGCAGTATGGGTTCTTGTGTTTATGTCTCCTTCAGTTGTCTCCTTGTCTCCTTTGTCTGTCTCTGCAGTTTGGATCCTTGTTTTCATGTCGCCTTCAGTTGTCTCC